CTTTTAATGATTTTAGCTCCATTTTCCAACGGAATTGTTTCTAATTTGGTATTCAGAGTTTGTAACAGGTTCTACTTCAGGTAGCTGAACATGTTTTCTGTGGGTTCATGCTTTATTACATATATACCATATAACGGTACCTTCAGATATTCGGTATATGGACGATATGTGCCACACTTTCTAAAAAAATGTCTAAAATCACGTATTTGTAGTTCGTAATGGGTTCTAGAACCGCTGGCTGAACATATTCTATATAAGTTTACGTTTTACTATAGCACCCATATAACGGTACCTTCCCACAATCGGCTGAATTGAACATTTTAGTCGCTTGTTTTTTTAATTTGGTATATACAGTTTGTAATGTATTAGCCCCACTTGTTTCAAATTCGGTATTTCAATTTCATAATGGGTTCTACAGCCAGTGTCAAAACATAGTCCATATTAGTCCAATATTTCATTTGGACTACATTTTTCCGCTGTGTTTCGAATTCGGCATTTAGGACTCGCAATAGATAACTATCCTTATATCCATTTGATATGTTCACTTTTGGTATGAATAGGACATTCCTTTTGGAGTTATCGTGTGATTGGGGATATAAAACCGCGATATTTTGAATTTCCTATGACACATGAGTTAAAATTTCAACTTGACCAAACGAAATTATTGGCTTTTTGGATTTTTTTTTGTGAATAGGTCAGAAAATATATAGCTAAATATGGCGACCCCATATTTGATATTTTCAAATATGAAGAGTTACGACAAATTTTCCAATTTAAATTAATAGTGGTATAGTTTCAGAAACAGCAGCACGACCAACCATTAGGTTTCACTAAAATATGTATATTTTGCAATTATTTTTATTTTTATGGGCGATAATTTGGTATGTCGGCTTAATATGGAATGTTTTTCTAATAAAATAAATTTTTAGTTTTCACATATGTTGAAAATTTATTATTAAATTTTAATTTTTCCAACTTATTTATTAGTTTTGAATTTGCAAATATATTTTTAGACAATTGTTGCTTCACAAAGTGCCACACTTTGGTCATATTGGACTAGCTAAGAACATGAATGCAAACTTTTCACCAGCAGTCTGCATAAAACAAAAGATACAAGTCCTAGTAATGGGCCCACTACGGAATGTGGGTAGCAGCGTTGATGCGTGTGAATATCAACTTTCTCCGCAAGAATGAAAATCGCGTGCAAAAATTGCTTTTGTTGTCCTGGCAACTTTTTGAACACCACCCCCTCCGCCGCGGCATCTTCTGCTAACCAAATATAAATATGTGTGTTCACTAATAGAGTTTTATACATTGTATGTCTTACATGGATTTTCTTTGTCAGCCAATGCGAGTGACACGTGACTTTAGCAAATGAAAGCTAATGTCAAGTCGAAAATGTGAATATTTTCGTTTTTGATATATTGTTATTCCATTAGAAGAGGAGGAGTAAGAAGAAGAAGAAAGGAATAAGAAAGATTTGCGGATTTAAGCGTAACATGGGCGGCGAGAATTGCAAAGATGGTATACAAATCATCCAAGGAAGCCAATGCCATTTCAAGGTTTTAGTTGTAACTGTGTGTGTATGTGTGTGTATGTGTGTGTTAGTGTGTGTAAATTTGCAAGTTTATGACATTGAACATATTTCTTCATTTACGCTGCCTTGATTTGTGTTCATTTAATAAATCCATAAATATTTCAATACCCTTGTTCGTGTATTGTGTGTATGAGAGGGAGAGGGGAGGGGAGGTTTATTCCTCCTCCCTCACCTTATGTTATGGAATACAGTTTTTTAAACCCTATTCTCTTTATGGCGGCTGTCAAATGCTCCGGCAAATATACGCTAAATTTGCTGTGGCTGCTGTCTGTTGATGCTGTTTACTTTTATGTAAATTAGGCGGTATTTCTCGTTCGACAAAAGATATGAATAAGCCAAAATGAGATGTGTTATTATTGTCTGGCTGTTGCTGCAGTCTGCTACCGATATCGCTTACCGCTATTATTGATGACAAACCGATGTTATTTTTTGTGGTACTTTTCCATTTATCATAAAAAAACCTCTGATTTAGAAATCATAGGTATATGAAATGATTGAAAAATTATTGATGCATATGGGCCAGTACAAATGAACTTGGATAGATAGAAATTCGATTTGATTTATAATTGGGATCGGATACAATTTTGAAAGAGTAGTTAAATTTGAATTTTCCTCAAAAAGTTTAACAAATTTTCAGTTTGTGAAAGTTATAGCCAAATCGGAGATTGTCCAGACGTATATATAAAAAATTGAATCAAAAGTTTTAAAAACACAAAAAAGAAAAAAATATTTTTCAGTTTCCTATTGTAAAACATATTTAGCCCATTTTCGCTCTATACCAGAACTGCATGAATGTAAACGTTTTTATACGTAAATTGCAAAACTAATAGATTTTTGTAGGTACTGGAACATACATTTTTAAATATGCATATTTTAAAAATTTCTTATCGACATCTGTGAAAGTAGAAAGAGAAGAAAGGGTCTCTAGTTTTATCAGGCTTAAAGCATTTTTCTACGAACATACAGGGTGAGATAAAAAAGTGCAACCAAATTCAGACTGCTGTCTTTTCTAAGCCGACAGCTGTTAAAATTATTCCAGTGACAGCTAATTATATTGTTTACAAGCGTACAAAAGTATTTTGGTGAGAATTTTGCAGAAAAAAGGATATTCGGGATGGAATTCAAGCGTGATGGTGTGATTTCTTCATATTTGGCTGGAAAACCACAAGGGACTATCGTTAGAGCACTCCAGCATTTAATGACTGTGATTAAATCTCCCTAGTTACCGTCATACTGGTAGCGTAGACCGACGTCAAGGAAGTGGACGGAAGAAAACAGAAACATCAGCAGAAATGGTTCGAAAATTAAAGAATCGAAACGCCGTCGCATTGGCCAAAAAATGGCTCGTGAGCTGAACATATCGCAATATTCCATTCGGAAAATATTGAAAAATGAGCTCGGGGTAAAGCCATTGAAATTCCAAATAGTGCAAGAAGAACTTACACCGCAACAGAAAGAAAATAGACACAAAAGAGCTAAAGAGTTGCTTCGCTTGGCCGAAAGTGGTGAACTGCCGAGTTTGGTTTTCTCCGATGAGAAAACATTGGTTGCCCAGCAGTTTGTAAACAAACAAAATAATCGGGTTTACTTGCCAAAGAGGTCAGCTGACAATGTACACCTTCCGATGGCCACCGGCCACCGGCCCCCAGAACTCAAGCGCGGACATGGTGATGGTGTGGGCTCTCCGCTCGTATTAATCGACCGTGGCATCAGAATAAATACCGAATATTATCGCGAAAATATTGTAGAGGGTGTATTATAGCCTTGGGCACCCAAACATTTTGGCCGCAGACCTTGGACATTCCAACAGGACTCAGCACCATCGCATTCAGCACGCGCCACCCAAGAATTGTTACAAAATGAGGCAACTCGCTTCATTTCCAGCGCACAATGGCCACAAAAATCTCCGGATACCAATCCGTTGGACTATTGTGTCTGGAGTATTCTGGAAAGCAAGGTTGGCACTAAAAATACCAAAGTGTCGATCGCCTCATTCAAGCGTTTCGCCGGCAATGGGCCAAAATACCGTAGAGCACCGTAGACCGTAGGCAGCGTGTGACGGTTTCATTGGCTGTTTGAAGGTTATCATTCGTGCCAAAGGTGTTGCTTTATTGCAGTTTTTTTATCTCACCCTGTAGGGATATTTGGTCACTGAGATCAATATGCATAATGTATCGATTTATGACATTGATGACGTCATCAGCATGAATACAACTCTTTTTAATAAGCTTGGTGGCATAGATTTTCTTTTTTATCATTATATAACCGTTTTCAGATTATGTAGATCCTTTCTGGCGTACCGTACTATTTGCATGTTTTCCACTGCTACTGAGAAGTATTCGTCTCTTCTTCCGTTTATACCACGATATCCATGTTCTTTGCCAAGAAATCCAGGAAGGTGAACGATTATTGTTCAGTAGATAAACCATACTTTAACTTGGTCTTCTCTCCGGAAATCCATATACATTATAATCAATTTTCCAAAATTGGTCCGAGGGTAGAATTGCCGCTGTGTGCATTTTCGATGGCACCATATCTCTCTGATGGGGCAAGAGTTACGATCACTGTTCTATGCCACAAATTCCTTGTGTCCTTGAAAAATTTGAGTAGGTACAATGTTGCTTGCTGTGATAGTATGTAGGTGACGGATGCTAGTGACATTCGTGGTATCGGCTTCTCTGATTAATTTATGTTGGTATTCTAGCTTGACTTCAGTGGCGGGACAAGCCTGCCAATTTCCAGGCTTCGGGGACGATGTGTGGATAGTGACAGGTTAAAAACTTTGGTATGGTACTCGGACTCAGCTCATCCCACTGCTTTAAGAATGCTTTTGCGATTTCCTCGTGGCTAGAGAAAAATTAAAAAACAACACTTTTCTAAACCTGAAGACGCTTTCCATATCTTGCACTACAATGCAAGAACATATCGAGAAAAAGACAAGAAGTCTGTGGTCAAATATGAGACAGTAAGAGGAACCTCCAAATATCTTACCTACTATTATGTCGTATTATGTCGCATTGAATTAAGTGAATCCCCCGAATATGTCACCTAATTTTAACACTGTTCCTTATTATAGTGAAGTGTCATTGTACTTTGTACTTTATAAACATAAAATTAAGATGTATATTCCGTTCCGTTATGTTAATCACTCCTCCAATGATACACCTTGTTAGAACTTGACACAATTTCGAATATAAGTTGTCTACACATTTTATAGACGAGGAAAAACATATCTGTTCCAGAACAAATTTTATAATATATTCTTGACCATGACTTCCATAGTTCTATAACCTAAACAGATTTGGAAAATTATTTCCTTAACCGGAAATACATGTATTCGCTCGACCATGGCTACAGAGACATGCCGATATCCGTCTCTCGAATTAATAACAATTTGTCTGGATTTTTGTTTGCTATAAACTTTCTAATGAACTTTTATTTGAATGACATTTTGAGTTGTTGATGTTGTTGTTGTTGACGTGTTAGCAAAAATTGGGGTTTTAACAGAAATGTAGGCTATTGAACTGTTCACGATTGTTTTTCACCATATCATTGTAATACCAAGCACTCGATGTGTTAGACGAAGCTCCCATGCGACGAGTGGGAACTTCTAGAGTGTAACCAATGCGTGGGCTGGATGATAGTTCGTATTTGTTAGCCGGTACTGACAGGGTGTTGCGTAATGGGCTGACATCCATGATGGGGCAGGTTTTGCGAGATGAGCGATTTTTATGGACCATGTTGACAAATTTAGATTGCTTGGCAGAGGGGGGTGTGAAGAAATCAGGGAACGCTTTGGATGAGGGTGAGCACGGAGAATTCTAGGATATTTCCGCAGTTGGAGGTACGGGAACCTTTTTTCGATGACAAATGTTTGGAAAGGCTGAAGAGAAGAGAGTAAAATTAGTATCCATTGGTATAATGTTGCGTGGAAAATCCCCCAACTCACCTTAAGTTAGCGTTTAATTTTGCTTTGGTGTCGGCGCGGTTATTCATTGACACATAAGTTGTTTTCCAATAAATTTCAAGTGAATATTGTCACAGAAATTTTTGAATTGTTAGATAACTGGTTGAAGATTTTGAAAAAGTAACGAAAATCGTTTTTTAAACTTGGTTGGTTGATTGGTTGATGCTTTTGGTTGTGATATCCAAACTCAAATGATGACCTCCTTTGCTTTCGCCGTCTTTTTATAGCTGACAAGCTACTCTTATCATGCATTCGAAGCGTGTTTTTAATATGGTCTTTGGATATTTTTGAGTTTGTTTTTAAAAATTTAGAAATAATATCAAAAACATAAACTTGTTTAAGTCGAGCATCTGCCGTGATTTGCATAATTGGATGCTTCGATTTGAATTTATTTCATTGTTTACGTCTGGGACGATGAAATTTTTATTGATCAGCATCACATGCTGGCTTTAGTGTGTTTTTTTTTCTTCGAAGAAAAAAAAACACCCCCAAATGGTGTTTGTGATCTAGGCGGCTGTTGACAACAAGTAGCTGTTTTGATCAATAACGGAATATTACATCTTTATGACTTAGATTTTTTGAGGAAAGTTGAATTTTATTCAAATAGTTTGATCCCATTCTACTTATTGAAGAAAAATGTAATTCATGTACGATTAAACAGCTTGTGTTTTTAACAACAAAATTAGGAATATCTTAATCACAGGCATATTTTGGAATTGAAATAATAAAAAATGTAGGTTATGGTAAAAATATTATAATATATAATTTCTTAATATCTTCTGGAACAAATTGGGAGGAAAGTTTTATTAAGAGCTATTAGGACATGTAGACTTTACTTAGCACATAGTTTTGGACCTATTTATTATTGTACACTGCAATATTATGGGCAATATTATAAGTTTGATTGGGCCAACAAGTTTGTAACACTTCCGAAAATTGGTCATAGACGCACTATGTCGATTATGTTAGGTATGTTCTCCCACCTGTCCCTATGTCTATGTCAATTTGACCCGATTTTCACGAGCCCAAACAGAAGCCTATTCTGCACAACAGGTCACAATTATAGACCAATGGACGTATATTTTTGAGTGAGGTTAGAATATTGGACACGCCATATCCGATAATAATTAGCGGGCAAAATTGATTTATGCTACATCATTTACGTATATGGTCAGAAGTCGGAGATATAGCTCAATATGCACAGTTATTTAAGTTTTTTTTAATAATTTTTAGACTACCATCAACAGGAAAGAAGACGTAATTGTAAGACAATTGCCACGAAGTTTTGCACCGTCTCATGGCACGGCTCCAAAATCATTTAAAACCTTTTCAATAACTATCTGCCATTATTTCAAATGGACCATACACAAACATGAAATGTTAATTCTGGTTAGAAAAATTAGAGTAGTATACATGATTCCTTAAATACCGATAGCCATATAACGGTACCTCCCGATATTCGGTATTATGATGATTTTAACCACATTTTTCAATGGAATTGACTGGAATCCGATATGTGAAATTCACAATAGGTATTTATGACTTTGACAAAAAATCGTGTAAATAGGCCATCGATTGCATGAAGCCCCCAAATAAAATTACCCCCAGATGTTCGGTATATTTTATATATTGTATTGTATATTTTTTTTTGGAATTATCTTCCTACCTTTCGATAGATTTAGACAGATATTTCAATGGTATTTTGACGGGTTTCTTGACATATTATACAGGGTGAGATATAAAAAAATTCAACAAAGTCAAACGCCATAATTTTTACATTTTTATTAAATTTCATTGAATGAAAGCAAAAAATGTCGGAAATAGCATCAAATTTAAGAAAAAGTTTAGATTTGTTCGAATTGGTCACCTTTGGCTCGAATTATGGCCAATGAAACCATCACACGCTGCCCGAATGTTGCTCTGCGTATTTCGGCCTTGCTTTCCAAAATACTCCAGACACTATAGCCCAAGGGATTGGTATCCGGAGATTTCGGTGGCCATTGTGCGCTGGAAATGAAGCAAGGAGCCCCATTTTGTAACCATTATTGGGTGGCGCGTGCTGAGTGCGATGGTGCTGAGTCCTGTTGAAATGTAAAAGGTCTGGGGCCAAAATGTTTGCGTGCCCAAGACTTTAATACACCCTCCAGAATATTTTCGCCAGAATATTTGGCATTTATTCTGATGTCACGGTCGATTAATACCAGCGGAGAGCGACCATCGGCTGTTATGGCGGCCCACACCGTCAGCATGGCCGGAGCTTGAATTCTGGTGGCCAACCGAAGGTGCACATTTTCAGCTGACCTCTTGGCAAGTAAACACGATCATTTTGTTTGTTTACAAACTGCTATACAACGAATGTTTTCTGATCGGAGATAAACCAAATTTGGCAGTTAACTACTTTTGGCTAAGCGAAGCAACTCTTTAGCTCTTTTGAGTATATTTTCTTTCTGTTGCGGTGTAAGTTCTTGCACTTTTTGGAATTTCAATGGCTTTACCCCGAGTTGGTTTCGATCAAGTCGCTTCTTTACTTTTCGAGCGATTTATGCTGATGGTACTGTTTTCTTCCGTCAACTTCCATGACGTCGGGCTGCGCTACCAGTATCGCGGTAACGAGCGATGGTACGAGACACAAAAGATTTATTCACATTTAAATGCTGGAGTGCTCTAACGATAGCCACATGTGGCTTTCCTGTCAAATATAAAGAAATAACTCTATCACGCCTGAATTCCATTACGAATAACTTTTTTTCTTGAAAATTCTCACCAAAATGCTTTTATACGCTTGTAAACAATATAATGAGCTGTCAGTGGAATAATTTGAACGGCATTCGGACGAGTGGCTCAGAAATGACAGCAGTCTGCAGTTGGTTGAATTTTTTGTCATCCTGTTCCAAGGATACCTCCAGAATTGACCATATACCTCGGAATTGGCCGGAGCTTCCTATAATTTCCTTAATGCCAATGGATAGTAGACTTCATAAGCTTTCCGTAGGTACCCATATTGTCCTGGAAGGCACAGTTTGGTGTAAACTTGTCCTGGCACATAGTATTGTGCAACGAGTTAATGGGTGTATGTAGCCTTACAATCTTTGGAATATAATTTAATTATGATTATATAATGCATTTTGTTAGCGTTTTATATGATAAGTAATTAAAAATCAAAAATATTAAGGAAAAAAAATTTTTATGTAGCTCTGTTAACGCCAACATAGCTATGGTATATTCTCTGTTAAATTCATTGCTCTAGTTAAATTCGGAATTTATCGTAACGGACCTTAGAAAATGTACAATTCAAAATTGTAAGTCAAATTGACGGACATACATAGCTAGATTGACTCAGCTCGGCGAGATAACAAAATCCATTTATTGTTTCCTATGTCGGGAACCTGTATTTCGAGGTGTTACATGATGGTTGGCCCAATCAAACTTGTAATATCCCCAACACATAGTGTTGTAGGGTATAAAAATACTGTCGTTTCCGACAGCTTCTCCAAAGTCACCTCTCAAAGTAAACTTCTGAGTGCTACACCTTCGCATTTACAAAAACCAGTATCTCTTATTGCACACAAAAATAATGTTGAATTTCCAATTCTGCAAAACATCAATACTAGACGTTTCGCCTATTCTGGTTAAGGCAGTGATCACATCTTTTAGAACTTCATTTATTTAGACGCATCATAATGTAAAGTACTTCTGCTACTGTGTGAACAGGTATTAAAATGACAATGTAAAAGCCAAAAGACTATAAAAAATCATAACTTTTTATAGTATAATATTAAAATTCCTATTTTGCACTCGGGTCCACAAATTGAGTATATCACCAGTACCAAACATGATCCATGCTCAACTAAGACTTTAATTCAAATCTCTGAAGTTAATTTGACAACTTTGACAGAATAGAGTTTTCAATCTTTCAACCAAATTAATTTTTCAATAACCCAAGAATTAGATTCTAAAAACAACCAGGCTTGATTTGTAATGATTTTCAATTAATTCATTAAACAATTGTTATGACATTTTATAACAGTATAACACTTTGGCATATTAAATTTACAACAATATATATTTTAAAAAATTAACAAAAATGTAAACTATTGAATTGTTCACGATTATTCTTGATCATGTCATTGTAATACCAAAGACTAGATGAGGATGCTGACGATGACGATGAGGAGCCAATGGGGCGGCTGGGTACCTCTAGTTTATAACCAATACGAGGGCTTGAGGACAATTCATATTTGTTGGCCGATACCGATAATGAGTTGCGTTGGGGGCTGACATCAATGACGGGGCAGGATTTGTGAGATGAACGATTCTTGTGGACCATTTTGACAAAGTTTTTTTTGATTTAAGATTGCAGATGGTTGAGAATGTGTGGAGGGGAATCAAGGTACACTATGTAGACGAGTTAGCACGGAGAACTCTAGAATGTTGCCGCAGTTGGAGGTACGGGAACCTTTTTTGGATGACAAATGTTTGGAAAGGCTACAAGAAAAAGAAATAAAATAATTAATTATATTCCAATAATTGGGATGTTGTTTTTTTGCATCTTACCTCAAATTAGCGTTTAACTTGGCTTTAGTGTCGGCTCGGAAATTCATTGACACCACAGATTTGCAATTATTTTAAAGTGAAAAATTTCATAGAAAATTTCACTTGGTTTTGAGTTTTTTGTTTGTTTTGAAACAACGTTGGACGAAAAGCTTTGGCTTTCCTTGAATCTTGTTTGTTTTGATATTCAATTTTGAATGATAAGCGCTCTCAATTCAACCGGCTTTTTATATTCGTTAAATTGTCATGCACCGGTAGCGTGCTGTTCGTAGTTTCGCATTATAGACGACGACAACGACAACGATGGCTTATGTGATCGCCAACCCGTCTCCCCAGCAGAGCGACTGGGTATTTTTGAATGTTTGTTCAATAAATTCTAGGAAAGTGAGTGATTCTCCTATTTCAGGTTTGCAAGCTTGCCAATACAATGTATTTAGCTAAGGTAACTTTATTTGCATCTCGTAGGTGGTAATTACAATATATATCACAAGAATATTCTACAAACAATATTTTGTAAGCCGCTTGTTTTGTTTATCTCGTACGCAGGTACGTTCGTGTGAGTTAAATATTGTTCGAAGAAATTTTAATTTGAAACCTAAGAAGACTGTTGATGTGTTAAGTTATTTCAGGAAATTATATACTGCGTGAATAGCTTGTCCTTTTGTATTTTATTGGTACTTGTTATAATATTAAACACATTTTGAGAATGCATATATTAATAGGTGTTGACTGTGACTTAATTTGGTAAATTCAGTAAGTATATTGTAGAAATGCGGGATCTAATGGCCAGCATTTAAGTCCTTTACCTCATTTTCATATTTAAATGCATATATAGCATGATTAACCAATTTTTATACACTACAACACTGTGTTGGGGGTATTATAAGTTTAATTGGGCCAAAAATTATATAACACCTCGAAATATTGGTTTCCCACATAGGAAAGTATATATGGATCTTCCTATCTCGCCGAGCTGAGCCGATCTAGCTATGGATGTGCGTCCGCCCGTCTGTCCATGTTAATTTGTAATCACTCTACAGATCGCAATTATCATCCGATCTTCACGAAATTTAGAATGGAGGTGGGGTTAGAGCCAGAATAGAAGCTTTGCTTTTGGAGATGATCGCATAATATTTTGAGGTTGAAATGGACCAAAAACTTAAAATGTTCCTGTTGCTCTACAGGTTGCAATTATAGAGCAATCGACGCGAAAGTAAGCATGGGGCCTTCCAATTTTGATGGTCATCAGATAATATTTAGTCGGTGAAATAGACCGTAACATTTGTGTTAAGTAAAAGTAAAATTTTCCATTAAACCGCGAATATTTTGAATGCTGGCGAATTCACAAATAGACGAGCAGGTCAATTTTGACCGTTACGTAGATGCCGATAGTAAGTATATCGGGTATATATAGCGAAATATATGTAATGTATACATACAAAGGAAGGGGATGGTAGCTAGAATGCTTATATCTCAAGAATGGCTGGGCTATTTGACAATTTTGTCAATTCAGAATGCCCTCTTGGCATACAAATATAAAATCTAATAAAACGCATAAAAAGATGCCAATAATGATGTTGTTGTAGTATTTTGTGATATCTTTTTATTTATGCGATTTTTTCTTTTTGACTTATAATATTGAAGTGTACATTTTGTAATATTTTTAACCTTACAACACAGGTTGGGGTTATTATATACAGATTGCAATTATCGTCCGATCCTAACGAAAATTTTCATGAGGGTAGTGTTGGGCTCAGAAGGGTTAGGCCTATTGTTTTCAAAGATGTCCGCAATATATTTAGGGGTTGAAATCGACCAAAAACAGAAAAAAATTCTTCATCACACAATTGAAGCCAATCGACACGCCTGAGAAGAGATTTAAGGACAGGGAAGAATTCTATCATTTTGGATGACCATTGGATTATATTTAGGTGTAAAATGGACCACAACAACTAACAGCACAACGGAGTGCGTAAATATTGAGCAAATGTCCCTGGTAAAAATGCTAAGGGTAATATCTGGGCAGTGTTCCGTGACATAATTTCAAAAGCGAAATCTTCCAAAATAGATGTGGACATAAGGGGGCTTCTAACATATTGTAGTGTTGTAGGATATCACATTGTCGGCCCCGCACGGCTATAGCTTTTGCTTACTTGTTTTCTTTTTTTTAAGTTTGTATCCAATTTTTTGTAGTAATCGCTATAAAGATTGAGATTGAAGGGTAGATAAACCTTCAAAATTCCATTTTCAATTTAAAATTTCAAACGATTCCTCCAATGTAGTTTTAACCTTATATTCAACTAGCAAGTGCCCGCTACTTTATTTTAGATTCGTTTCAAGTTTGTGTTAGGCCTATTTAGAAAAAAACAAAACTTCATAGATCGTACAAAATTTTCAGACTTTCAAGGTTTTATAAATTATTGAAGTTTTTCCTTTTTCGGAGAGAATAATAGGAAAATGTTTACCTTTTACACCAAAAAGTTTTCAAAGTATTTTTTGAAGTTTTCCAAGGATGATATTAATCAAACTATTGCTCAATGGTCCCACATCCAATTTCTCTGCCAAAAACTATTTCAACGGGTCCATATTTAAACCTTAGAAACCAACAGCGACCTCAATATCAAATTTCAGCTCTATTTCTTCACCCAATACTAAATTTAGTAACATTTAGTACGCATATCCAAAATAATCTACATCTCTCTATCCTTGACACCAATCAAAAACCTATCACCAACAGAGACAGTATATTTTGGTACTTGGTACAATACGTGTATTGTTAGGATTTCGAAAAACCCTTGTCTATTCTACACAACATCAAAGACTCTCTCTCCAAATTTCACTTGTCCAGCTCTTTTCTCTTCCCAAATACCAAAGTTAAGGGAGTTTAGCACTTTTCGTAATTTTAAGTACGTTTTTCCAAATTTCCTGCCATGTATCAACCAAACCGCACTAAATGTGATCCAAATGCCTAATTTTAGACTTCAAACTCAATACCTTAGACAAATATTAAATTTAGTACCATTTGGTCCTTTTAAGCACGAATTTCCAAAACCACCTCCAAATCTCAACCCTACACACAAACAGTGATCCTAATGCCAAATTTTAGAATTGAAACAGTATCTGTTCACACAATACAAAATTTACTACCATTTAGTACGTTTCGTACGCTTCCTGAATTCAAATTTTTTGGTTAATCCATTCAACCCAAACCAAATTGTACCGAATTTAGTACCATTTAGTACAGTCGTTACACTTAATACTTATATCAACACTACTTGCCAATCTTAATTTCTATACTGAGTATCAAAAATATAGCCGTTTCCTTTCACAGAATACCTAGAGGTACGAAATTTAGTTTTTTTTAATTACTTTTAGTGCACTTCTAGTCCGAATTTCTACGAACCCAGCCTTATCTCAAAAGTAATGAAATTAAATTGATAGCTAACATAAGTGAGGTCTATCAAATTAGAATGGTTCGATTGGTGTTCCGATAAATACATACGGGCGAGATAAAAAGAACTGCAACAAATTCAAAGCTCATAAATTTTACATTTTTTTAAATTTTATTGATTGAAAGCAAAAAATGTCGGAAATAGCATAAAATTTTAGAATAAGTTTAGGTTTGTTCGAATTGATCACCTTTGGCATGAATTATGGCCTTCAAACGGCCAATGAAACTGTCACACGCTGGCTGCATGTTGCTCTGCGGTATTTTGGACCATTCCCGGCGAAGCGCTTGCTTGAAGTGATCGACACTTGGGTATTTTTTTAGTGCCAACCTTGCTTTCCAAAATACTCCAGACACAATAGTCCAACGGATTGGTATCCGGTGATTTTGGTGGCCATTGAGCGCAGGAAATGAAGCAGGGAACCTCATTTTGTAACCATTCTAGGGTGGCGCGTGCTGAATGCGATGGTGCTGAGTCCTGTTGGAATATCCAAGGTCTGCGGTCAAACTGTATGCGTGCCCAAAGCTTTTATACACCCTCCAGAATATTTTCGAGATAATATTCGCATTTATTCTGATGCCACGGTTGATAAAACTTTAGATATGATGATAGTTATGATTATTATTTATTATATTTGTAGGTATGATCGTGTCTCCAAAAATACAAATTTATGGGGTGCAGAGGGTTAACCAATATGTATCACTTTCACACTGACTCCGATGTAGACAAATCCCAGCTAGGCTCATCTGAATTTTTAGTTTTTAAGTAATGCATTGTTTATCTTTCTATTTGCCATTATGGCATACTAGCATATCGATTTGTTTAAAAAAAAACTGTTTTCTCATTATATTAGACAATCTGCTCTGAATTCGTTAGCATTAATGCTTCTGAGTCTCATAACAACACGGACTGTATGAGTGTTTCAGTAGAGTGACCTTTGTCTGGCTAGACAGTGTTGGATTTTTGAACTGTGATCTTCAAAATTTATCATCAAAGTTGTTTGGTTTTGATGACGTTTCTGTGGTAGGCAAAATAGCTTAGTAAATATATTTTCGCAGATCTCAATATTGACTGCTTTTCGAATTTGTAAGGCTTATGTGTTTTGATCAATTTTCTTACTAGTAGCAGATCTTATTTGTAGTAGATATTATTTTGATTACTTTCGAAGGCTGTTTGGACCATGAACCTAATGGCATTTGTGTTCGAAAACAGACTCTCGGTGAATAGCAATATCCTAGCAGCAAAAATACTAATTTCAAATCAAATAACAGTTCTTTATTTTAATAAGACCATGTTATGTAAAAGGTGAAATAATTTTCTGATCACATAAATTCCAAAAAGAGGTACTTGACTCATTTAATCTACTTTTGGTGGTCAAAAAATATCTTCTTATTTCGTTCGACATTCCTAGCTAAAATAACGGATTCCCGATATGCATTTATTTGTTTTGCTGGGCTATATGTAATTTGGGCTTAAAAATTGATTAATTTAGTAATGCAAAATTTTCATTTATTATAATAGAATTATTACTTTCTTTGTATTCCTGAGTTTCTGAATATTTTAATGCAATTTTAGAATGTCAATTAAGTCTCTATAGAGAAACAATTACTTTTCTCTATATACATATGTAAATGTTATCTCCATGCATTCTGCTTTGAATGTGGTTTAGAAACGTGATTTTTATTACAGATGCCCAAGTAAACTAGAAGTGTAGATAAACTGGATTTAAATAAATATAACATGTTTTATTCTAATGAAATTTCTTG